TTAACGTACAGTATAAATCTTGGCAGCAGGAAATCTTAGTAAAATATCTGACTGTATAATCTATCTGGTATAACCAGTTCTCATTAGGAGTCTCTTATGATCAACATCTGGTAGGATTAGACTGCCCTGAACAACAGGGATTTAGCTTGTGGTACTTACATGCAGCTTTAGTGAACCAAAAGGTCATCAGAAATATCTGTTAAAAGCAAAATAGTATGATTAATCTAAAAATTATTAAATTTATTTTGTAACTAGTAGGGTTAGGATTAGATGAGTGAACCATGCCTTTAAACATATAATCTGAAACCTATCTTGAACCATCAATCAGTGGAGAACTCTGAATCCGAATTGTCATCATCAGGTTGGCAATTCATCCGGACTATTGCCTTTCTTTACTGTGTTCCTGGGAAAAAGGGATGAAATTGGCTTGGTAAAAGCCAAATATTGTGGTCAAATGGATGCTCGGTATTTACTGCTGGTGAGCAGGTGCTTGCACTAATAATCCCACTGAAGTGAGCAATACCTGTTCAGCTACAACAAAAAAGTATGTGTGCAATGTTTGTATCCGTGTGAGATTAGGGGTCGTTTATATATTGTACACAGAGAATCATCATAAAAGGATCATAATAGGAAGTAAAAAACATGCCAACAACCAAAATTCAGTGTCAGGGCTCTGAAAGCACCAAAAACCCTTTCTGCCTCTGACCGGCTGCCAAGGCTGCCCCCCCTCCCCATGACCCAGAACCCCATTTCAGCTCAGTCCAGTGCCATCAGTCCCTCCCCCAGTGACGCTGTGGGAGCACTGGTCTCTCTGTCTCTCCATCACAGCCGTGCCTGGGGTGGATCCTGTTGGTTTGGACCCATTTCCTGGCTTGTCCTCAGGCCTGTCTTGTCAGTACGGACCTGCCCAGGAATCACAGGACTGTGCCGAACCCTCGTTATTCTCACCAGACCCAGTCCTATCCCAGACTCTTGGATGGACTTTCCAGCTTTGCCCTAGACCTACCTTATCGCTGTGAGCTTGCCTGGAGGTGTAGCCTCATGGCTGAAACGGGCTGTCTTCTCCAAGCTTATCCTCCTTCCCTTGCTGGGGTGCCGGCTGGTGAGGTCCCTGGTCCAGGGGCTGTGCTGCTGCACTCGTGTCCCTCTTCCTTAGGGAGCAGCCAGCCCATGCCTCTCTCCAACATTCGCTTCCTTTCCTTAAACCTGCAGCCATCCTTCCTGATACAGACCACAAGGCTGCTGCAATTCAGTCTTGTCCAGATGCATTTTTTTTTTTACAGCCCATTTAGTCATTTTATCTATGCTCTCAATTTGCTAGAGATTAAAGAAATTAATTTCTTCCTTGGCAGTACAAGTTCTTGGCTCCTCAAAACCCCTGTATCTCTTCTTTCACAGGTGCAGGGTCAGGGACTAAATATCAGATATCACTGAATTTGCTACAACAGCCATGAGGTAGGCAAGTATTGCTGCCATGCACTCCACAGACAAAAAGACACAGCCAGACTTGGTAGCAAACTTTAAAATTTTATTTTGGTCCTATGAGCTGTATCACAGAACAGCTCTGGTAGAATGAGGGGTAAAAGCCAGTTTACTTGCATCCCATCTTCTCTTGTGCTCAAGCACAGAGGCCATCCTTTCCTTCCTGTAGCTGTGTCTGTCACACATGATGCAACCCCTTCACTTCCTGGAGCTTGCTCCTGGGTAAAACGTATTTGCACCCCAGTAATTTTTGAAGTTGACCACACATAGATCTATTAAATATGTAGTGTGGTGAAATACTGATTTCATCTAGCTTTGTACGCAGAGCAGTGTAAAAACACTCTTTTTTTTTTTTTTTGTGGTGAGTGAAGGACTAGGGTCTCTAAGCAGTGGTTTGTGAAACCTTCCGCGTTTATTGGTGATCAGGTCTGGTAATTCCTGTTTTGGGTAAATGAAATGTTGGTGTCTTTAGAGTGCATGAAATTTATATAAACAGACACAGAGCTACAACCTTCATTAAATTGTTATCAAGGGACTGAACCCACATGGAATTATACTAGTGCTGTATTATAACTCAGTGCAAGATTTACTTAGGAACTGCAGATTCCCATTGGAGCTTCATTCAGTTTTGTTACAGCTTTCTACACCCGTTTCCTTCAGTTGAAGTTATTCTGTTCTACACAATAAGCAAGCAGAAGTATAGTAATTTACAATTTTCTTTACTCAGAGTTGGTGGAACGAAACAATTACTGCTGACCTCTAAAACTGCTTGTACTGCTGGTGATATGCTTTCCAGGACTGCAAGCATCTGCTAAAACAAAACATGCAACATTTTGTATTCTGAGTTTCACAAATTTAATCCAAATTGCAGCATTTGCTTCAGGAATTGGCAGCTCTAGAACGGGACGGAAGGCTGCGCAAATGGACCCAAATCTAGATCAGAAGAATCTGATTCATTTAAAAGAAGTGAAGAGCTTCTATAGGAAGAAAACCACAAGTTTTGATTCCATGAGATATCTGGAATATTTAGAAAGAGAGAGAAAAACCTGAGGGTTGGTGAAAAAAAAAAAAAAAAAGTGTGGAAATAGGAAACAAAGACTGGAAAATGTAGTGAAAATACCCCCAGACCAGGCGCAAGATGTGTGTCAGACTAGTGGTCATAGCATTGAAAGGGGAAAAAACCCAGTGTCTTCTAGAAAAACAATGTAAACCTTGTAAATTCTTATAAAGCTCCTAATATCTTGTATTAATGAGAAAGAAACACCTTTCTTTTGGCAAAATCTCCGCAACAAATGCATCTGAAAAGCATCTAATATCTGATTGTGGCAGAAGGGAAAAGGTTTCCAATGTCTCTGGCACCATATCTAATGAGGTGTGTCTTTTGGGAGCTTAATCACTAGTTCAATGAAAAGTCTAAGAGCTCTGAAAGCCGCAGAGTATTGGGCTTCTGGCAGATGGGGCAGGGGGGTGTCAAAGAAATTTCGCACTGGCTGAATTTAAAAAAGTGTTGTTTGGAAAAAAATTCACAGTGTTGCTCAGAAAAAAAAAATCATATGCAATTGAATGCTTCGGTTGCAGAGTTCACGAGCACGTTCAAGGGAAGGAATCACAGCAAGTCAATAGACAGTCTGAAATGTAAATTTTATAATCAAGTGTCAGCCTTGTGCCCTCCACTGGAGCCTATCTGTGTTAGTCTATTTTAATAATATTTAATGTGTATTTTTAATCATTTTTCTCATGTTAATAGTGGTCTAATTTGACTAAACAATATTTGGTGAATCATCTGTTTTCTGCTTGGATCAGCTGACTAACGTTAATCTAGTCTGTCTGAGATTAAAGGAATGACTAGAAATGGCTCCAGAAAAAAATCAAGAAAATATTGGATAAACAAAGCTGCAGTTAAAAAATTTCTCGTTTTACGGAAGAAAGTAGGACAGTATAGGTTAGAAACATATGACAAGTTGTATGCCTTTGGAAAGTACAGTTGTGTTAGCTAAGGAAAAATTTGCTTTTTCTAAGTAGTATGATAGTTCTAGTGAACTTTCATACTAGGTAAAAGGATTTTGGACATTAGCTAAACTATGATCAAGAGAGGTCTATTTTGTTTTGTACAAGTTTCTCATGTGAAAATAAATCTTAGTAATTTTAAAGCTTGGCTAAAAGGGATAAGATGAAGCAGAGGCCACGAAAGAAGTAATTAAGGCAGCCAGTGTAGTAATGATGGTCAGGAAATACTTCATTGGTCAACCAAGAAACTTGGCAAAACCAGCTTAAAGGGAACAGCAAAAGGGTGGAATGCTGTTTGAGGATCACTTAATGCAACTGCTACCTTGCAGAAATCAGATTATGCTGCTTTGTCTTGAAGAAATTTGCAAAAGTACAGAGATAGTTTGAATGTTTCTTTTTTTTTTGCCAAAAAATGCGTTGCTATCTGAAACAGTTAAACAGTTAAGCACACACCAAAAAAAATGTTAGTTGCATGGTAAACATAAAAGCATGAAATACACCCAACAGAACCTCTAAAATGCATAGACTGGAAGGAATGCTCACAAATGTATCTATATAAGGCTGAAGGATTGCTGAGGAGATGAGTTTGTGTTGAAAGTAGAGCTGCCAGCAGAACGCAGACATCTCACCTGTGGCCTTTCAGATCTCATTGCATCCCTTTGCTTTTGCTGTATACATAGGCATGAGTGGGATAGACTTTCAGCAAAGGAAATTTAGCAATAGCTGGGTCTTATTTTTGCATGGATAAAATGTCTTCTCGTTATATAAACTTCATGGTTATTTCAATTCGAATGAAGAAGTTCTTACTCCTGAAGGACAGATACCACTTCCTCTTTATTTGTCTGTATATCAAATATTTTCAGATAATTTTAAATGGACAGTGCTCTTTCTCAAAAGACGTCAAGGAAAAGGAGAGTTAGGAGGGAGATCTAAAATGCATAACTCCAGTGACCCATTCAGAGGGTCATTGGAAAGTATCTGCATATGATTTATAGACTTCTAAATTTTCCCATTTAATATCATGTATATTTCTCTTCCATGTATTGTATTTTCCATGTTTGCATTTGAGATATCTGTTTTACACTTATTTGCTTCTCCTATTTCTAACAAATAAATAAAAAAGACAATCAGTACAATGAATTTGATCACAATTTTATTAAATTAAAATGGGAATACCACTCTCTTCATTTCAGTCTGAAACCACGTTATATCCACCTAAGATTTTTGCTAATCTGTTAGGAATAGTAATGTGAAACTCTGTTTTTGCAGTCATGTGGCTGGAGGAAAATCAGCAGTGGTTAAGACAGAAAACCTTGAAGTAGTTCTATGGAAAAAAACCCTAATTCTGTAAACCAGATTGCTTTGTATGCTATCTGGCTTCTTTGTCCTATTAGGCAGCCTAAAGAGGACAGAGTCTTGCCACTCAAAATAAACGAGCAAGAAAATCTGTTGGTGCATTGTTGCATGAGTCACCCTTAAGCAAACCATAGCACTCGCTGCCCCATGATGAGATGCATGCCCTACAAAAGAGAGAGGGCACAGAGGAGTTCATTAAGCTTAACCAGTCCCTAACTGGGGTAAGCTAAGCTCTGCTGATTCATGCTAGGACCAGCTGACAGTGGTTTCGAATCAGTGCTCAGCACCCAGAATATGTAAGAGTGTCCTTGATGAGTCTTTTTATACAGTCCCAATCATCACTTTGGCTGCAAGAAAGCTTTTGGTCTTAACAGCACTGGAAATAGCCAAGTATTGTCCAGCCCCATGATGCAAAGCAGGAGCCCACTGTGAGCTTTTCGTCACATATGTTAAAGCTCTGTACAAAGGACACCCGTTGATAGTAGGTTACGGTTGTAAAAGAATAGTGCCTTGATCAGATTTTAGGCGAAATGGAAAAAAAGCGTGCGTGCATATATCATCGTTGAGATCATTGCTTGTCAGTCGTTACAGTGACAAATATAGTCCGTCTGCTTCCTCCTCACTGAGTCTCACTAGTTTGCCTTTTTCTCAACTTCTGACAGGTGAGGAATGATCTGACTGGCGTCCTGTATGGTGAAGACATTGAGATTTCAGATACTGAGAGCTTCTCCAACGATCCTTGCACAAGTGTAAAGAAGCTTAAGGTATGTGCTGCTGTTTCAGGAATACAGAGAAAATGGTGATTATGTCACGGCATTTGATTTAATTTTTTTTCCCATGAAGAAGGCTAATAAAAACAAATTTGCGTAAGAATGATATACTGCTGATAATAAGATCAACAAATGGCATTTTGAGGGCCTAGTCCTGCTTTAAGTCAATGAATATCTATGCATCTAGTAAATATTTCTGTAGTTCCTGACAGGGACACTAAGTAAAACAAGTTGTTGCTGGCTTAGTATTTGTACCTAAAGCACCAGTGTTAGAGATATGCTTATGAAAGCTCTTGAGGTTTTGAACCAGAAACCTTTTAAGGTAAATTATCATGTAGCAAAAGCATTGAGTGTCTTTCATTACCTTCATTACGCATTTTAGATTGAATTCTTTGCTTATATCATCTGCATTATTTCATATGAATCATAGGGGGGGGAGGGAGGAAAACTAAATTTGATAGCAAAATAATTTACCATGCTTTTCTTATTATAATGATTTATTAGGTTCCTGGCATCTCATAAAATTAAAACTATATTTTAACATTACCATGCGGTGCAACCAAGAATAAACTAGACACAGGAGATATGAATCTTAAACTGCATGCGAACATGAAAAAATGGTTGAACAGCAAGAGAAAGCACTTTTAAATGGTGAAGATCAAATAGTTGCTGACATCAAATACGTATGACACACAATCAAAGCCACAATCCTGCAAATACTTAAATATGTGTAAAACTGGTTTAAAAAAATCCTAATAAACCGAATGGTATTAAAAACATAAAATTAAAGCAAGGATATCATCTTGTATAAGACTAGACTGCTACTGAAGCTACCTGGAGAAGGCCTGAAGCGTGGTAAACTGAGTGCTTTATTATTCCCACAGTCTAGAGATGCAAGGCTGAATGTTTTAAGTATAAATAGGTAAATATTATGTTCGTAGGAAGCCATTTGTGTCTGTCCCATCTAAGCCAGTTTGCATTTCCTATCTGGGGTTGAAAAGACTCCAGTATGTGTTATCAGTAAAGTCCACATTTCTGACAAGTTCTTTAACCCCTGGCATCAGGAAACTAACAGTTCCAAAGGCAGAGCTCTTTAAACCAGTGATGTAATAACAAGAAAAAATGCATATAGGCATGTGTATTCAGGCTGAAGGTTTAGCAGAAGCAGTGAGATTCTAGCCTTCCTGTACATCAACACGCTGTTTGTTTTATAGGGAAGACCAGAAGAGACTAACAAACAATACATTAAAGTTACCTCTTGATTTCTACTTCAAAACAAATTTCTACAACAAAAAATAAACAATTATCTAGGCAATCGCTTATTCTCGACAGGAATATAAGGTCACTTCTCCTTAGGTACATATGTCAGCGACAACTTAGCTGTCTATTTCTAAAAATGTCCATTCCTTTCTTCAAGATGTAAACCTAATATAGGTGAACTGGTATTGCTTACTGTACTTGGGATTCAAATAGACATAAAATGCCTTTTATTCTTGTAAACACAGTTTCAAGTAATTAAATTAATTTTTATGCAATACAAAAGAGAAATATCTGATGATTTGCAGAAAGACCTGTTTTATATTTTTCCCAGCAACACCTTAATTTTTACTGCATTGACTCCAACCTCTTTGAATCACAGCTGGAAAGTAAATTTAGACTTTAAAAGTCATTTTTGTGTTAAGAGAAAGGGATATTGGAGGATATGCATTTGTACATCAACTTAAATGTTTAAAAATTCTAAGCATGCATGGGCAAAGTGTGTGAGCAATAACGCTTCAGCTTCCAGCTTTCTTGTATCTTGCACGTAGGACAAATTGCAATATATGATCTCCAATTCAATGAAACGGTTTCCATCTGATTTCCCAAATACAAGAGGTGTTTTGGATACTGACCGAACATGAACTCTCATTCTAACAGTGAAGTTGATTAAATTTTAAAATTTTGGGCCACAAACAGGTTTGGATGTGGCCTCAAGATAAGGGAGTGACCTGCACACTAACGCTGACATCAGCAAGTTTTTCCAGCATGTTATGATGGTGGGAGCTGACGTTCTCCAGCTCACCTTCACCCTCAGTAATTCCATAGCTAAGGTCAGAGCTCATCTATAGCTCTTCAAGTGGACATCCGGGCGTTTAGAAGGCAGAACATATGGGTACTTCTATGGACAAAATTGTTCAGCTTTAGTAGGTTTATTGATAACATCTTGACTGTCAGATACAGGTAGAGAATAAGACAGGGTATCTGAGCTGTTCAATTTGGATATTTCATAAAGAACCTGCCAAGCCATTGACCATTCCTGGCAGATGAGATATTGTAGCAATCCTTCTCTGGAAAGCTGTATAATACAACATTGCTGTGTTATTCATTAGAAATGGGAGATTAAAATCCGATCACAGACGGGAAGCTCTGCAGGCAAAAAAAAAAAATAATAAAATTCCAGCATAACGTGCATCACTCCAAAACTCTGAAAAGGTTAAAGAGTGCCTCATATCTGAGCACGTTAGAAATGCCAGTAGAGGAGACAAGTTGTTCTTCATCTATCAGTGGAGCACCTTAGATGTCATGATCCTCACTGCGCTTATACTCAGGGTGATCCTCAAGTTTTATACTTCTCAGCTCCGGTCGTACCAAAGAGAATTTATATTTAGTGGATTATATTATGAATAATATCCTCACCAATATGAAAGAAAGGAGCAAGCAAGAGAGTCATTCATTTTTGAGGCTGTGCTACAGTCCTCATTTATAAAACATGTTATTATGGAGAGTCTGAAACAACTGTGAGTAAATGAGGTGTAACTGTTCTTCATTTTCTTGTTTGAACTTTAGTCCATATGGGAACATATGTATTGCTTACTGAGGGGCAAAGCTTAAATGCTGATATTGCTACTCTAATCTCTGAGAAGAGTAAATATGACAGCTCACCATCTGGCAAACGGTCTAAACATTGGTCTTTTTATATAAGTGCAGTTTTGGGAGTTGCCTTCCCCCTGGGATGTTCTTAATCATCTCATAGATCACCTGCCTAGTTCCGTGAATTAAAAACTCTTCTGTCAAATACACTTTAGCTCCCTGCGAGAAATTTACGACTCTGTGAGAAAGAAGGAGCACTTGACAGTTGCTGGGATCCAGTGGGTAACTTCTTTGATCCCTATAAGAGAGTTACACTGTGTTAACTTGCATCAGTCCCATGAGGGTTGATGTAAAGGAATAGAATATCCTTGCAAGGAAATCATACAGGTTGGTAGTCAGTTAACAGTGTGACTGAATGGGGAAAAAAATTATGCCCTTGTGAGTGTCTGAGGTATCTGTTTGCATGAGACCATAATAAGGACATACACCCTGACCCACGAACACTGACATGAACCCAGCTCTGATAAACTTCAGTGCTGGCTTAATTATCCATCCAGATAAAATCTCTGCAAGGGGTTTGAGCTCTCTCCAGTTGCATGAATTTGAAGCTTCAGTGTCTCTTAGGCAGGACAGAGCCAGCAAACCCAAGCTGGCATCAAATGGATCTAGCCTTATTTACCATCTTCAACACAATTTTTCGCGAACAAATTCTGGAAAAATGTGGAAGGGGACGCAAAAAGCCAAGTTGCAGAGAAGGAGACTTACTGATGAGTGCATCATTTACACAGAGGAAAGATGTTATGCATGGAAGAGGAAAAGCTATTGTATAGACTTTCCTAAATCGGTTCCTTCTACATGGATTCTAGCATACAATTCCTTGGTTCCACGACTGCATGCTAAATTTTCTACTCTTTTTAGCTGCAAGCAATAAAACCCCAGGCACTGCCTCTCACAGCATTGTATTGACATCTGTGTGGTTATAAACAGGAGGAATCTTTTATGATCTGCCATACAGGACTAACCAACTAGAACTACATGTTATGTACTTTGTGATGCAACTTTATGAAGCTGGACTTCATAGAAGAATAAGATATTCAGCCATACATTCACTGTCAGCTTGACCCTGAGATCCCATACTCTCCAGTTAACCCAGCAACATCCTTGTCTCATTCTGAATCTTCATCCCAGTCTGAAGTTCTTTGCTTACTCAATGCTATGTTCTGCTTCTCTGATTTCTCACCTCCCTCCTAGTACCTTTGTCTAGATTGTTTTTCCATTTCCTTCTGGGCTTACTTTCTGAGATTGCATTTGTCCTAACAGTAATTATTTGTCAAGCTTCCTATTTGCCATACTCTTGAAAAGTCCTAACTCTTCCTCCCAAACACCTTATCAAGCCTACTGCTACCTTCCCAGCTGTTTGCTCCATCGTTGCTTAAAAAGTGTGATCACTCATTACCCAAATTCCTTATTGGGTCTGTCTCTCCTTCCCATGTGCCCTTTTTTTCTCTCACTGGATCCTACCTCCAGTCATTTTATTTACTGACTCTCAGGGTTATCTTCTTGGATCCATCTCTGGCCAGTACTAAGCACATGCAGACTGCGATTTTCTCCACCCCTCAAAAGGTTAATACCTGGACAAATGTGGGGGAGAACTGGGCATTCATGTTTCTGTCAGAAAAATCTTCTTTTTCTTAGCATATTGCACATAAAAAGACATGGAAAAGAACATTATTAAGCATATAACTTGGAAAAAAGTCAGAATTCAACTTTTTTTTTTTTTTTTCTGTAGTCCTCAATCACGTAATACTTGAAATGGAGGACTCATGACTTATTCTTTAGCAGGTATTAATAGAACATTTCCTTTGATCTTCTTCAGTCAGTTTGTGGTTGGATACCATCCAAATCTTTTAGTGAACACAGACATGTTAATGTCTTCCTTACCATACTGAGGGCTTCAAAAACAGTAGTTTGTGTGTTAACATGGAAACTCATTAATTTAGGCAAAAGAACATTTGGGTATTGCATCTTGGCTCAGTCATACATCCTAAGGATGACAGAAGACCAGTGATCATCACATTCTAGAGCAATAGCTGATCTTTGAACTTGGGTTGTGAAGCTTTCTAGTTGAGCATCAGGGATTCTTGAGAACTTGGTTCAGATGTAATTCTCCCACTTCATAGGTTTCCTGCACCGGCATTGGAAGCTCAGCCTATGCTGGAATTGGAGATTCCTGCCTGACAGAAAATCCAGCTTCACTGACATCCTTAGTCAGATATTGACATGGTCAGATATTCAGTTTCTTGTGTGCCTGCTTGCTTGGATGCCTATAGACTAAAGGCACTGTAGAGCCACTTACTTATGTGGCTGAAAGTGCCAGGCTGGTGTCTGAGTGCTGTTGCCAAACTAATTGCACAATCATATTAGTATAAGACAATACTTGCAGACAGTGAGGTTATTGAAATGGGATAGGATATTTCTGAGAAAAAAAATTACGATGGACTGTACAGTTCTTGTAGTGCTTTACAGTAAAAGAATAGTCACTGTGGGAAATGTACTCTGGTTTATGTGATAATCAGGTGAAGCAATGTCTTAAGGGGTGGAACCCCACACCGCAGACCCTACCCTTTAGTCTGAAGGTTGTTGCGCAGCCAGCGAGCAGCGCTCCTGCACGTGCGCGTTGGGTTTTCTCTACACCCTGCCTGCAGTCTCTGGTGCTCACAAACTATGAGGCTACACTTCTTCTGCTTTTTTAAAATTGGCTCGTATTTTGTTATAAAATGAGATGGAATTTATTCCATTTTAAGTTTCATAATTAGGTGCTGTGTCATTTATTTTTTAACTAAACTCTTTTTTCAAATATTAAATCTGCGTTTTTATGTTCAGAGAGGTCAAGCGATTCAGAGTCAGAGTTCCAAGAGTGACTAAAGTTATTTTTAAAATGTGAAAAATAGAAGTAATGGATGAGAGAGTATTTGCTGCCTAATTCCTAAATCTATTTTGTCCTTTCAGGAACCGTTACACTAGTGCTGTAATTTGTCTAATTTGTTTCTTTAGTTTCACGTGACCTCGATAGATTTGTTTAAAGAGAATCTAATCCACTTCAGTAAGATTTATATTACTTTATCAGTCTGTGGCTAAATATAAAAAAAAAAAAAGAGAAACGGGCTTACTGAAAATGCACAGGTTCAGAATAAGCAAAGAATATTATGTTCTTTCTGACTTTAACCATGCTAAGAGTGATACTAATTTCATGCATTTAATTGCAGAAGTGTTCTAGTGTCTTTTTGCATGTCCATCATGATATCTTCTGCTGAACAGGAAATAAACATGGAAATTATCTAAACTGAAAATCTTTGATAAATTGATTTCATTAAAACTGAAACGCTTTTTGCCACTGAAATTTGCACTGAATCATCCGTTTCTTTTTTCCTTGG